CTCCTTCCCTAGCACTTGGCTGCCGTTGAGGAGAGAAAGATCAAATCTCTGGTGGCCCTGCTGGTGGAAACCCAGATGAAAAAGTTAGAAATTAAACTTCGGCACTTTGAGGAACTAGAGACGATCATGGACCGGGAGCGAGAAGCAGTGAGTAATGTCCCTTAGGAAGTCAGTGGAGCCCAGGGACCCACCTTGATGCTGAGCTGAGCCTCAGTTGAGAGTGGGGTAGTGGGAGGGGGCAGCAACAGAGGAGAAATCCTGAGACAGACAAAGCAGAGGGGAGCAGCCCAGGCCAGGGAAGGAAGAGCCAGTGCCAGGCAGTTAAGGACAAGTGGCCCACAGGTGAAGCCTGGACACTAAGGTCTCACAGAATGTCAGCTCTTCCACGAGGCCGAGATCTTAGTCTGTTTTTGATTGCTGCATCTCCAGGTCCATGAACAGTGCTTGGCCCATAGTAGACTCTTAATAAGTGTTTGCTGAGTGATTGAACAGGATTAAGGGATGATGAGAGGATAGAGGCTTCAGATCTAAGGGGTAAACTTGGGAAGGATATGGGAAGGACAAAGTATGGATCACTTTGAGAAACCATAAAAAAAAATAGAAGACAGGGATCCTGCCCTCAGAGAACTTACAGTTTAGTTGGCAATATCATATATACAATATGGAGACATCAAAAACAATGCTTAAAATATCTGACAAATTCAAATTAAGAGATTTTAAATTAAGTATGTAAGTCCTGAAGAGAGAACAGAATAAGGGCCAAAAGCTCAGGGGCTATTGAGTTGATCTGGGTTGGCTTCCTGAAAATGGTGAATTTTTAGCCAATTTTTAAGGAAGAAAAGAACATGAATTAAGAGGACTGGAAGGTTTTCCAAATTAAATTAATGACAAGTTCAAAGCTGTGGAGCCGAAATGAGCAAGGACCACCCCTAGATTAAATCCTTGGCAGCCAGATGATGAGGCGAGGGGCAGGGAGGGACAGAGAACGCCCAAGCACATGATTTAGATTTGATGTGGGGAACTGCCAGAATGAGAGGCTGGGCTTGTCAGAAGACAGAGTGGGGGGCAAGGGCATTTGCCTTTGAGATCTTCTGAATGTGCGTATTCAATTGGCACCGGCAGCTGGAGTATCAGAGGCAGCAGCTCCTGGCCGACAGACAAGCCTTTCACATGGAGCAGTTGAAGTATGCGGAGATGAGAGCCCGGCAGCAGCACTTCCAACAAATGCACCAACAGCAGCAGCAGCCACCACCAGCCCTGCCCCCAGGCTCCCAGCCTATCCCACCTGCAGGTGCTGCTGGGCCACCCACGGTCCACGGCTTAGCCATGGCTCCAGCCTCTGTGGCCCCTGCTCCTGCTGGCAGTGGGGCCCCTCCTGGAAGCTTGGGCCCCTCTGATCAGATTGGCCAGGCAGGGTCAACTGCAGGGCCACAGCAACAGCAACCAGCTGGAGCCCCCCAGCCTGGGGCTGTCCCACCAGGGGTACCACCCCCTGGACCCCATGGTAAGTGATGGGTTCTGGAACTTTTGCTGACTAGAGGGATCCAAGTGAATGTTCCAGTGCCCCTCCAAGGGGATACATGATAGGACTAGAGATGGGCATCGGCCTTAGTTTCTATAGATGGGTCCACCTCTGTTATATCCCTAAGCCATCAGGGATCCCTCCCCAAATTCAGATCTTTGGAATTTCGTTCCAAGGATTTACCACTAATTCTGGTCAGGAAAAGAGAAGGTGGTACTTAGGAGTGACTTGATTATCCTATGAAAGTGAGATTTTACACCTCTAATCTTGATTTCTCCTCTCCGTTCCCAGGCCCCTCACCGTTCCCCAACCAACAAACTCCTCCCTCAATGATGCCAGGGGCAGTGCCAGGCAGCGGGCACCCAGGCGTGGCGGGTAATGCTCCTTTGGGTTTGCCTTTTGGCATGCCGCCTCCTCCTCCTCCTGCTCCATCCATCATCCCATTTGGTAGTCTAGCCGACTCCATCAGTATTAACCTTCCCCCTCCTCCTAACCTGCATGGGCATCACCACCATCTCCCGTTTGCCCCGGGCACTCTCCCCCCACCTAACCTGCCTGTGTCCATGGCGAACCCTCTACATCCTAACCTGCCGGCGACCACCACCATGCCATCTTCCTTGCCTCTCGGGCCGGGGCTCGGATCCGCCGCAGCCCAGAGCCCTGCCATTGTGGCAGCTGTTCAGGGCAACCTCCTGCCCAGTGCCAGCCCACTGCCAGGTGAGAAGGGTCCTGGAGGGGAGAAGGGTGAGGGATAGGGGTCCACAAGGAGGGACGGAGGGCAGGTGGGGAAGGGCTCAGGTACTAGAGCTTCCACAATCCTTTTTGAGCACTCTAGTAAAATTAGAATACGGGAGGAAAGGCGTCTCTGGCCGTCCTCCACCATTCCCCAGCCTGGCAGCTGCCACCTCTGGGATGACGTTGGGGCCTTTCACTGGTGGGTCACCGAAGAGTCCTGTGGCACAGAGCATCTCAGTTGTAAACTTGAAAAACAGCTACCTGTTTTGCATGATGATTTGGCATCCCTTTTGCTTGTCCCCATCACACTCAAATGCCCAATTTAGAGAGTTCCCTTGGGGGCAGGAGGATGATTTGGGGTCTACCAGTTTTCCCATTGTGAGGTGGGAAAGGGTGTTGAGGAAAGAAAGTTGTACTTTGTGGGTACCTCATTCATCTACCCACCCATGCATGCCATGCCCAGTTCTATTTGTGGTGGCCTGGGTCTGAAGCCTTCTCTCCTGCTCACCCTAGCTTATTCATCTTCCTTTTCTCCACAGACTCAGGCACCTCTCTGCCTCCAGATCCCACAGCCCCGAGTCCAGGCACAGTCACCCCTGTGCCACCTCCACAGTGAGGAACCAGCCAGACATCTCTCTCCCTCACCCCCCATGGAGATCAAGGTTCCAGGAACAGCCCTCCCCCCACCACTGGGACCCTTCCCCAGCCTGGAGAGTTCATCACTACGTAAGGAAAGCTCCTCCTGCCCTTTCAAAGCTCCCACCATGCCTATCATGGGCATGCATTTTTATCAGATTATTCCAGGACTTCTGTTAAAAGATCTAATGTCTGGGAGAGGATAGAAGATAGGATGGAGATGCTGCCCTCAAAGGAAGGGCTAAGGGAAGGTGTTTCTACAAGATTCTAATTAACCACTTCTAAGGGTGCACCCTCTCAAAACTACTGCATTTTTTATTGATGAAAAAAAAAGACTAAGCCCTTTTAAAGGAAGTAGATTTTTAAAAAGCCTCATTGGAGCCCCCTCCACCCACTAAAAAAAATGTCCAACTTTTATATATTTTTGGAGGATGGAGGTGACTGTTTTAAGAAAGGGGAATTAAGGTTCTGGGGAGAGCTCTGAGGATAGAATAGGGTGCAGAACAGGGCTCTTCCAGCCCTTCGTTAGTGACAGAGTCAGTTCAGAACCCCCTCAAGCCACCCCACCCCGTTTATTCCTACTAATCTCATGCTGCTTCCTCAGTATTTCTGTTCTAGGCCATCCCAGCTCAGCCAATGACCCCTTTCCCTCTGAATGTCAGTTTTGTGTTAAATCACCGGCGTAGTTGATGTCAGCGTGTGTGTATTTGGTGGAGAAACAAATTTTAGGGGATTCCTGTAGTAGGTAATTGAGAACAGAGCATTCGGGGCTCTTCCTCCTCCTCCCTGGGTTCTATCAGTGGGCTCCTCAAAGACATGGAGAGGGCAGCTAGAAAAGGATGGGAAGTTTTAAAAACCTGAAATTTTCAAGAAGCACTTAAGCACCTCCTTCTTATGACTTGGTAAATCCCCCCCCCCCCCGCCCCCGATCTCTTCCCTTTCCCACCAAGACCATCGGAACCTTGACTGGTGGCTAGGGATTCCCTGGGATGTGGAGGCAGTGGAGCCCAACCTAGGGTAGTGCTGACCCCCAGTTTGCAGCTCAGCTCTGCTCTCCAGGTTCCAGTGCCTCCTGTACCAGCTCTCATGAAGGCAAACATGATTCCGGGCTCTCCACCAATTCCTGGTCCCTCCTACCAGGCCCTTTATTCCTCATGTCCCCATATTTCTCCTCCTCTGCGTCTTGGCACCTTTCTTCTGTATTTAATCTCTGCTTTTGAACAATCACAAAGAGCTCAATTGTTAGGTGACAGATTGTTGACACCCAACTTGACTCAGCCAACCATTACATGAATGTTTTCAGTTCACTGGAACGCTGAAATTATATTTAAATTTTTTAAGTAAAAATTTATTTTTTTTTTTTTTTTTTATAAATTAATTTGCTTTCAGTTTTATCTTGTGGATGCCTTCTGTGTTCTCTTACCTGTGGCTGCCAGGCTGGGGGATGGGGCTGGGGGCAGCATTCCTGGAGTTCTTCCCAGGGCATGCATTTGGGCTGGAGAGGCAATCTGCAAGCCACAGGCCCAAAGACACTGGCCCTCTCTCAACAGGCTAAAGGCAGCACAGCTGTCCAGACTGTGTACTGGTGCAGAAGCTGGGCAGAGGCTCTCACCTGTCCTAAAAATAGCTGTTTTAATCTTGGAAGGACATCTTCACAACCAGGAGATTTTATATGTTTATCCTTTCAGATGTAATAGCTTCATTTCTTGCCTTATTAGGTGGGGAGAAGGCATGCATTTCACTTCTGTTATTACTGGCCCTTAGCCCTGCTGAGGTGACAGACAGGCTCAGGCAGTGCTAATATGGCCTGGCTTTAGCTCTAGTAAATACTCTCAGGGCTGCCCCCACAAAAGGCCTGCAGTGCTTGGCAGGGTAACGGCTGAGTTTGAGGAGCTGGAACAAGGATAGTCAGCTTTGGTCCCACAGGGATTTATGGCTTTCCTAATCCCCCAAGGGGTGGTCTTTGTAGCATCAGTGAATGGGGTAAGCATTTCAGTGAGGCAAAGACAGCTCCAACAAGCCCTTCCTCAACTTTCCCTAGCCCCTGGTCCACGGACCCTGGACTCTCCTCCCCTTCAGCCTGCTCAGAAAGGAAAGCAGAACTGCATTTAGGGAACAGGGAGCAAGTTTATTTGGTGAATGCTGATGGCAAACAATCCAAGACAGATAAGCTAGGAAAAGTGCTGTGATGAGAGAACCTAGGAAGTCTTCGGGGTTACATACAGTCTCACACAGGGGAAGGCACAGGGCTCTGGACACGCTGGGAATGTCTTCAGCCATTCAGCACCATGCGGACGAGCTCTGTGGAAAGGAGAGGGGGCGTGAACCAGGGAGCAGGGTCAAGGGGAGGGGTCCACCAGGGGCCAGGAGACTACAAACCACAAAGGTGGCATAAGGGACGTGCCCTCAGCAACCAACCTTGGGGTCAGTTTGCAGAGAGGCCACCTTGAGCCTGACCAGTTCTCTCAGCCCCTAGCTCCCCTCCCACCAGCTGTTAGTTGCCCACCCCACCCTGAGCAGCAAGAACACAGCAGAGGCAGAAAAGTTCTCAACTACACCTACAGCTACTATCAGCCATTGGCAGGAGGAGAAGGCAGAGTTCTGGGTTAGGGTACCTCCAAGCTGCCCAGCAGAAGGAAGGGGAAGAGACTGGTCAGCTACAGCAGCACAATGGGGCAGGCAACCCACCCCCTCTATGCCAACTGCCAGTGCTCCAGGGCCAAAGGGTTACCTTAAAGCAAGATGGGGACAGGCTGGTGAGACTTCCCAGACATTAGCAGGGGCCCTATAAAACTTCAGAGCCCATTTTAGGAGAAGAGGTAGGTACCACACTCCCAGGCCGTCTTCCTCTTTGAGAAACCCCTTCCCTCCCCAGTCAGCTCCATGCAGAAACATGCCATGAGGAAGTAAGATGGTAGTACGGGAAGGGCAGGGGCCAGAGAGCAAAGGTTGGGAAGAAAAACACTGGGAAGGTCAACTAGAGAAGGGGAGGCTGGGAGGAGCCGTACCCGCCCCATGGGCCCGTCACCCCGACAGGATATGCCTCACAAACGCTGCAGGAAGGAAGAGACATTAATGGTGAAGACAAGACACACACATGGGGTGAAGGGGTCAGGCAGTGGGGACATAGACATTCCATTTATTTTACTTGCCATTCCTTTCCCACCCTTCACACCACATGGTCCCTTCCTATCCAGTCATACCTCCCCTGGCCTCCCATTCCTGGGCTGGGCTGGGCCCTGCCCCTTGCCTCCTGGCACTTTTTGGAGCCCAGGGTTAGGGAAAGCCCTAGATGCTATGCTTGACTTGCCCTGTATGGCTGCTTCCTCCACGAGAGCCCCAGTTTGACCCTCACCTTCATAGTTGATACAACCATTGCTGTCCTCATGCCCTGCCACCAGCATCTCTACTTCTTCCTCTGTCATCTTTTCACCTGCAGAGGAAAACAGTATTTTAGGAACTGGGTGATGGGTGAGGTAAAAGGTGGCACCCCAGATCAAGAAGCAAGGGTAGAGCCTTACCCAGTGTGACAAGAACATGACGGATCTCAGCGCCCATGACAGTACCATTTCCTTCCTTGTCGAATACTCTGAGGCCTTCGACATAGTCCTCATAGGTGCCCTGGTCTTTGTTCTTGGCCACAGTCTGCAGCATGGGCAGGAAGTGCTCAAAGTCCAACACCTTCACATTCATCTCTGCCATAAAGGAAGCAGAAGGAAAGTTACACGAGTTCTCAGAACTGAAGGGATTACAGGGATCACAATTGAACAGATGGCTCCCACTCAAAACACAAGAAATCTGTGGATTTGCTCGTTGAGACAAGACCTGCTCAAGTTTGGAGCCTATGAAGATAAAAGGAAGCTCTTAGCTGAAGAACTGTGGGCCTCCTTCCAGAGTTATTCTTGAGGACACTCACCATCACTCTTGGGGTTCCCCAGGACTTTGAGCACCTCAGCATTGGTAGGGTTCTGGCCCAGGGCCCTCATCACATCCCCACACTGGCTGTACAGGATCTTGCCATCCCCTGTCCGGTCAAACAGCTGGAAGGCCTCCTTGAATTCTGAGGAGTCAGATAAACAGCACTGGGCAAACAGAGGTTAACCCAAAACACTCCCTCATGGTATCCCTTACTCATTCAACTTTGATTATGCTGAGGATACCAGATATTTATACCACTGTACAGCTAAGTCCACTGAGAGGGATTCAGTATCCATTCCTCCTAACTCAGGTGTCCCACAAAAAGATACAACCTTCCTCCTCCCTTGCCAGAATAGTAACATCCATTTATACACCCCCTCCGCCTGCGGCAAGCCAGTCCAGCCTCCTTGCTACACTACTCAGGGCAGGAATTTGCCACCGCCCTGTCTGGGTCCTGTCCTTATAAGGAAATGGGAGCAGCAGCCTGGGACTGGGGTCATCCCAGCTTGCCACTTCCTACCCCTCCCCTCCCGTTCAGTGGGTCCAGCTACAAAGAAGTATCCTCAGCAAAGGCTCTCGTCCCTATTTTTACAAAGTACCAGGACACTGCTTTTTATGATCTTCACAATTCCAAGCTGGGGGAGGGGGAGAGTTGTCACAGGAGGACAGAAAAGGCAGAAGAAGCTCATTATGAGACAGATGCACAGGCAGCTTCATACACCCTCCCCAAACCCCACACACAGCAAGCATTAGGTGTCCAAGTTGTTTCACATACCCACACCACCTAAAACTCACCCAGTGCTTGGGTCTCAGATCTAGAGTGAAAGGGGAGGGGGAAGAAAGAGTGAGAAAAGAAAATGGAGGCTCAGAAGGAGGGAGAAAGGAAACCAAGAGGTATTCCCCTGGGGGTGCTGAAGAGATGACAGGTTGGGGTTAGGGGGTAGGTGCTAAAGGAGGTGTACCCTCTCCCTAAGCGTGACCTCAGTAGGGGGTCAGATACCTACCTGCAGTCTGGTCCTCGGTGAAGTCACACTGCTCAGAGAAGAGGGGAGCGGTCAACATCTGAACTCCAATCCCCAAAGCATCCATCTTAATCCCACAAACTCCGAACCACAAACTCCTGTTCCACGCAAGGGCTCACTTCCCAGTAGGACAGGACCCGACTTTCCAACCCCACCTCCAACTTCCAGGCCCTCAGGTTCCCTGTCCCCCCTACCTCTACCTTCTCCTTACCCCCTATCCCCAGCTTCCCGCCTCTCGCCCCAAATCCCGCTCATCGTCCCGGGTCCCGGGTCCCACCATCTTGACTGCTCAGCTCTGCGGGACCTTTTTCTGCAGTAATGGCTCCCGCTCTCGGCCCAACCCTAGTCTTAGTACGTCCCAATGACGTCACTCTCAGCCGACCCAGCCAATACGATTCCTGGTTTGGGTTTATGCAGATATATTGCCACATTAGTAATGAGGTGGGCGGAGCCAGCTGTTTATTTCTCCAGAAGAGCCTTACCTGAGGCACAAAACTGCAAAAGGGGTGGGGTGAGGCGCAAGGAATCCGCCCTTCCGAACAGGAAAATCAGAAGATACCGGATTGGAGAGAGAAGAGCCCTCTCTTCCCTCCCTCCCTCCCCCACCTCAGAAGAAAGCAACAGTCGGAGACCAAGGGAGGAACCGTCTCTTTATTTTGAAACAAAATAGGTGGCCTCCTAGTGGCAGGAACGTGCTTCCAACTGCGGGATGTCCAGTATCCGACCCCACTGCATCTGCGGAAAAAGATGAAAGTTGCCAAATTCAGGCACTCCAGATTCCCGCGCAGCAGGACATGT